TATAGAATATACTATACTCTGGACTATAGAATAGGCTATAGTCTGGACTATAGAATAGACTATAATCTGGAGTATAGAATAGACTACAGTCTGGACTATAGAATATACTGTAGTCTGGACCACATAATAGACTATAGTCTGGACCATATAATTGACTATAGTCTGGACTATAGAATAGACTATAGTCTGGACTATAGAATAGACTATAGTCTGGACTATAGAATAGGCTATAGTCTGGACTATAGAACAGACTATAGTCTGGATTATAGAATAGATTATAGGCTGGACTATAGAGTAGGCTGTAATTTGAAGTATAGAATAGACTATATAATAGATAACAGTATGGACTATAGAATAGACTATAGTATGGACTATATCATAGACTATAATCTGGACTATAGAATAGACTATAGTCTGGACTATAGAATAGACTATAGTCTGGACTATAGAATAGACTATAGTCTGGACTATAGAATAGTCTATATTCTGAAGTATAGAATAGACTATAGTCTGTTCTACAGACAACTACAGTCTGGACTATAGAGTGGACTACATTTGAAGTATGGACTATAGAATAGACTATAGTCTGGACTATATCATAGACTATAGTCTGGACTATAGAATAGACTATAGTCTGGACTATAGAATAGACTATAGTCTGGACAGTAGAATAGACTATAGTCTGCACTATGGAATAGACTATAGTCTGGACTATAGAATAGACTATAGTCTGGACTATAGAATAGACCATAGTCTGGACTATAGAATAGACTATAGTCTGGACTATAGAATAGAATATAGTCTGGACTATAGAATGGACTATAGTCTAGACTATAGAATGGACTACAGTCTGGACTATATAATAGACTATAGTCTGGACTATAGAATAGACTATAGTCTGGACTATAGAATAGGCAATAGTCTGGACTATTGAATAGACTATAGTCTGGACTATAGAATAGACTATAGTCTGGACTATAGAATAGACTATAGTCTGGACTATAGAATAGACTATATTATTATTAATTATTATTAATCTGTACTATAGTCTGGAATATAATATAGATTAGAAACTAGAATATAGTCTGGACTATATTCTAGACTATAGTCTGCCTTATTGGACTATAGACTAGTTAAACGTCTTTCCTATTGACTACATTTTAGTCGGAGCTACATACATACAACAATCCATTTTTTCGAAAAATCAACTAAAAATCAAATTTGTTTCAATTAAAAAAATAATTTTTATTTCAAATCATTAACTAAATATATCACATTTTGTAACAGGATTTATTAACAACAACTTTTAATGGTGCAATTTGGTGTAAGTAACGGGAGAGGAGACAAAAGTTTTCACAACAGGAGCGCTATAGGAAACGGTTTTAACTACAGGAGCCGATTCATAAGTGTGAACAGATTTTACAACGGGAGCAGCAGCATAAGAAACTGATTTAACTACGGGAGCAGATTCATATGTATGAATAGCAGGAGCAGAGTAAGAAACTGATTTTACTACTGGTGCTGATTCATAAGTGTGAACAACGGGAGCAACAGTTTTTACTACGGGAGCGGAGTAAGAAACTGATTTGACTACGGGAGCAGTTTCGTAAGAAACGGTTTTTACAACAGGAGCAGCAGCATAGCTATGGACAACTGGTACTTTTTTCTCCAAATTGGTGAAACTTTGATGGGTAATGGCCGAGGAAGCACTGGTATCAACAACAGCAGTTTTAGTTAAAACAGCAGGTTGTACAAAGGAGTGATGGCTTTCAGACACAAAACCAGGAGCAGCGGAGGCAACAGCAGCCAAAGCAAAGACAGCGATCTGTTAAAATGGTTACAGGAACAAAATTAAAAAAAAAACTAAACCTATTTTTATGTTTAATATAACTTACAAATTTGAACATTTTTGTTAAAGTTACTTTAATGTTTTAATTTAAAGGGAGTTTGATAAACTGATACTTCGAAAAAAGACCAGCGAATATTTTATACTTTTTTTGTTTGCTCGAACTTTAACAGTTAACTGGTTTTAGTTATTAAGCTAATAAAAAAGAAGTAAGAAAATTTTATTGTTATACAAGACAATTTAAGGTTAAGCTATTTAAAAGCAGTACACTGTCACTTATAAATTTTAATTTACAGATATGTATTTAAATATATTATGTTTTTAATTAAGCAATTGAAAGGAATAATAAATTATAATTGTAATAACATTGCCCTATAGCAGTATCCTTAAATAATGAAAAGTTATATTATTTATTATTTCATAAACTTTTTATATTATTAAACCATTTTATAACATTTTCTATTCATAATCTTTTAGTTCATAATTGTAAATGTTTTTCTCGATAATCACGATTATAGATTTTAGTTCACTTTTTTAATTTGCACAATCATAACTTTTCAATAATAATTTTTCCACAAAAAAATATCTGAAATTATATACTGTGGATAATAGCCCTTAGGTATTAAAAAATTATATTATTGGAATATTTGATAACAGGAAAAATTCCATTTATTAAATTAACTTTGTTAATTTCCCAGCAAAAACTAGGTAATGGATTTCAATTGTAATTACTCACCTAACAACACACTTTCCAATGACTACTACATATCGTCTGGATTACATGGAAGTTGTCTAATAAGGTCTTACTAATAATGTGTTATATACATGACAACACCGTGTTAAAATATTGACTTAAAATGCTGTTGTGTAAGTAAATTTTAGCATTTTAACTCATTATATGGTAATAAAAGTTTTTACTGGGTTGTTCTTAAAACAAATGTTTTTAAAACAAATAACGTTAGATTACGATGACTCCAAATTAGTATGTATCCAAGAAATGTCAGCATATTATATTTAGAACTATAGTCTAACTTCAACATTCTAACATTCTATAGTTTGGTCTATAGTCTAGTCTATAGTCTAGTCTATAGTCTAGTCTATAGTCTAGTCTATAGTCTAGTCTATAGTCTAGTCTATAGTCTAGTCTATAGTCTAGTCTATAGTCTAGTCTATAGTCTAGTCTATAGTCTAGTCTATAGTCTAGTCTATAGTCTAGTCTATAGTCTAGTCTATAGTCTAGTCTATAGTCTAGTCTATAGTCTAGTCTATAGTCTAGTCTATAGTCTAGTCTATAGTCTAGTCTATAGTCTAGTCTATAGTCTAGTCTATAGTCTAGTCTATAGTCTAGTCTATAGTCTAGTCTATAGTCTAGTCTATAGTCTAGTCTATAGTCTAGTCTATAGTCTAGTCTATAGTCTAGTCTATAGTCTAGTCTATAGTCTAGTCTATAGTCTAGTCTATAGTCTAGTCTATAGTCTAGTCTATAGTCTAGTCTATAGTCTAGTCTATAGTCTAGTCTATAGTCTAGTCTATAGTCTAGTCTATAGTCTAGTCTATAGTCTAGTCTAGTCTAGTCTATAGTCTAGTCTATAGTCTAGTCTATAGTCTAGTCTATAGTCTAGTCTATAGTCTAGTCTATAGTCTAGTCTATAGTCTAGTCTATAGTCTAGTCTATAGTCTAGTCTATAGTCTAGTCTATAGTCTAGTCTATAGTCTAGTCTATAGTCTAGTCTATAGTCTAGTCTATAGTCTAGTCTATAGTCTAGTCTATAGTCTAGTCTATAGTCTAGTCTATAGTCTAGTCTATAGTCTAGTCTATAGTCTAGTCTATAGTCTAGTCTATAGTCTAGTCTATAGTCTAGTCTATAGTCTAGTCTATAGTCTAGTCTATAGTCTAGTCTATAGTCTAGTCTATAGTCTAGTCTATAGTCTAGTCTATAGTCTAGTCTATAGTCTAGTCTATAGTCTAGTCTATAGTCTAGTCTATAGTCTAGTCTATAGTCTAGTCTATAGTCTAGTCTAGTCTATAGTCTAGTCTATAGTCTAGTCTATAGTCTAGTCTATAGTCTAGTCTATAGTCTAGTCTATAGTCTAGTCTATAGTCTAGTCTATAGTCTAGTCTATAGTCTAGTCTATAGTCTAGTCTATAGTCTAGTCTATAGTCTAGTCTATAGTCTAGTCTATAGTCTAGTCTATAGTCTAGTCTATAGTCTAGTCTATAGTCTAGTCTATAGTCTAGTCTATAGTCTAGTCTATAGTCTAGTCTATAGTCTAGTCTATAGTCTAGTCTATAGTCTAGTCTATAGTCTAGTCTATAGTCTAGTCTATAGTCTAGTCTATAGTCTAGTCTATAGTCTAGTCTATAGTCTAGTCTAGTCTATAGTCTAGTCTATAGTCTAGTCTAGTCTATAGTCTAGTCTATAGTCTAGTCTATAGTCTAGTCTATAGTCTAGTCTATAGTCTAGTCTATAGTCTAGTCTATAGTCTAGTCTATAGTCTAGTCTATAGTCTAGTCTAGTCTAGTCTATAGTCTAGTCTATAGTCTAGTCTATAGTCTAGTCTATAGTCTAGTCTATAGTCTAGTCTATAGTCTAGTCTATAGTCTAGTCTATAGTCTAGTCTATAGTCTGTCTATAGTAGTCTGTCTATAGCTGCTAGTCTATAGTCTAGTCTCGTTTCGTTTCCCACTATAAAATTGAGAAGGTACCATTAGATAAAGGAAAAAGTATCCCCTCTTGACAATAGGCTGGACTATAGTTTGTAATTTATACTAGACTATAGTCTGGACTGCACTAGATTATACTATTAACAAATTGGACTATAATCTTGATTTTGGACTGTAATTTAGACTTGACTATAAATTGTACTTTAGTCTCAACAATATACGGGACAATAGTCTGGATTAAATTCCGGACTATTGTCTGGACTATAGTCCGGATTATAGTTTTGGCTATAATCTGTACTATAGTCTGGCCAATAGAATAGACTAAAGTCTAAGTCTGGATTATATACTAAATATACTATAGTCTGGATTGTAGACTAGACTAAAGACTAGAGAAAAGTCTGTACTCAAGACTAGATTATATTCAAGACTACAGACTATAATCAGTTTTTAGACAAAAAGTCGAAAAAATAAAAAACCTATATTTTTCAATAAAAAAAAATCTCTTTATTTCAAATCGTTAACTAAATATATCACATTTGCTAACAGGGTTTATTAAAAACAACTTTTAATGATGCAATTTGGTGTATGTAACGGGGGAGGAAACAAAAGTTTTCACAACAGGAGCGCTATAGGAAACAGTTTTAACTACAGGAGCAGATTCATAAGTGTGAACAGATTTTACAACGGGAGCAGCAGCATAAGAAACAGATTTAACTACGGGAGCAGATTCATATGTATGGACAACAGGAGCAATAGTTTTTACTACAGGAGCAGAGTAAGAAACTGATTTTACTACAGGTGCTGATTCATAACTGTGAACAACGGGAGCAACAGTTTTTACTACCGGAGCAGAGTAAGAAACTGATTTTACTACGGGAGCTGATTCATAGGAAACCGTTTTTACAACAGGAGCAGCAGCATAGCTATGGACAACTGGTACTTTTTTCTCCAAATTGGTGAAACTTTGATGGGTTATGGCCGAGGATGCACTGGTATCAACAACAGCAGTTTTAGTTAAAACAGCAGGTTGTACAAAGGAGTGATGGCTTTCCGATACGAAACCAGGAGCAGCAGAGGCTACAACAACTAAGGCAAAAACAGCGACCTAAAACCAAAAATATGTATACACTCGCTAGAAAAAATTATTTTTTTTAATAACTTACAAATTTGAACATTTTGGTGATTTAGGGGAATTGTTTGTTTAAAGTTTAAAATTAAACTGTTGATATTTTCAACATTAGCAGCCACATTTATATACCTCATTTTTATTTCTTTTTAATGTGCATGTTTTAGGGGTTTCTTAAACTTACTTTATTACTAGTAACTGGTTGTTAAAACTTATTGTATTTCTTTTAAGGCAAACATTATAAAATCTTGATTATGGTCAAACAATTACAGAATTAATATTATGCGTTTTGTCAAATGTGTAAAAAAATATCAATTGTATTTTTATAACCTGAATTCTATTCAGTTTGTAACACAGAAGCATTTTTACATTAGAACTGGAACTATTTCTTAAAGGAAAAAGGATTTATAGGAAAAAAAGGGGATTGCAGGAAAAAGAAGAAGGGACAAGGATGCGCCACCGAACGAACAACGAAAAGAAGAAGAAATAGAGGGGGACACGCAGACAGAGCGCGAACGACTTAACGAAAACAACGAACGAACAAACGAACGAACGAACGAAGAACGAACGAAAACGAACGAACGAACGAACGAAAACGAACGAACGAACGAACGAACGAACGAACGAACGAACGAACGAACGAACGAACGAACGAACGAACGAACGAACGAACGAACGAACGACCGAACGAACGAACGAACGAACGAACGAACGAACGAACGAACGAACGAACGAACGAACGAACGAACGAACGACGAACGAACGAACGAACGAACGAACTAAGAACGAACGAACGAACGAACGAACGAACGAACGAACGAACGAACGAACGAACGAACGAACGAACGAACGAACGAACGAACGAACGAACGAACGAACGAACGAACGAACGAACGAACGAACGAACGAACTAACGAACGAACGAACGAACGAACGAACGAACGAACGAACGAACGAACGAACGAACGAACGAACGAACGAACGAACGAACGAACGAACTGAACGAACGAACGAACGAACGAACGAACGAACGAACGAACGAACGACGAAACGAACGAACGAACGAACGAACGAACGAACGAACGAACGAACGAACGAACGAACGAACGAACGAACGAACGAACGAACGAACGAACGAACGAACGAACGAAAAACGAACGAACGAAACGAACGAACGAACGAACGAACAACGAACGAAAACGAACGAACGAACGAACGAACGAACGAACGAACGAACGAAAATAACGAACTAACGAACGAACGAACGAACGAACGAACTAACGAACTAACGAAACGAACAAAACGAACGAACGAACTAACTAACTAATAACTAACGAACTAACGAACTAACTAACTAACGAACTAACGAACTAACTAACTAACTAACAACTAACTAACAAATAACTAACTAACTAACTAACTAACTAACTAAATAACTAACTAACTAACTAACTAACTAAACTAACTAACTAACTAACTAACTAGCTAACTAGCTAACTAACTAACTAACTAACTAAATAACTAATCTGGGTTGTAGATGGAACTATATCCGGAATATACTCACGTATATTATAGACTATGTACCAAAATAACTTCTTAATCCCACTGTTGTCTGTGGCAATAAACTAAAATATAATGACATTTCTCTTATACTAATTATCAACAACTTTTGTAATCGTCATAATTAGACATCATAGTATTAGTAAGCGAACACACCCCCTTAGATAACAGAACATAAGTTGTGACATAAATAATTATATTGTTGGAAAATTACTGTAAAGGATTATGAATGAAAAGTGTTGTACAACGTATACCAGGCCTGGAAAATGCAGTACTATTACTTTCTAGTTGGACTAGTTAATAGAATATCAGATTTAGTTTAGTGGACTAGTCCATAGACTAGTAGTCAATAGTTAGGCCTGTCAATAACCCAGTCCTAGACTTGTCAATAGAATATATCAGATTATAGATTATACTATCCAGTAACTAGTCCATAAGCGAGTTAATAGACCAGTCCATAGACTTGTCTCATCCATAGATAAGGCAATGGATAAAAAGACGAAAAGTAAATTATTACCTTGAAACCATAAAGTTTAGATAATCTTTAAAAATATTACTACTTTTGCAGAATTTAAATTTTCCATGCCTGACGTAGACCATCAATATTAGCATTACAATCGTCATACTCATAAACTTCATAGTGTAATCAAATAGATTTTTATTGCATATCAGATTCATTCAATACTATCAATACAATATCTGTATATAGGAATAGATAGCTATTGCTCATAACTACTTAACTATTTCTATACATTTATGTATATGTATAGATATTAGCGTGCACTCCGTTAGTAAGGAAACAAACATTGTTCTTTTTTTCTACCGAAATTTCTTAGAAACCCAGCTAAAAAAGATTATGTATGGATCATATATGGATTCATATATGAAGCATATATTTTCATATATGTTCATATCCGAAAATTGGCGGAATTGGGCATAATCATATATGGAGATTTCATATATTTCCATATATGTTCATATATTTCCATACTTATCCATATATGGAATATTTTTTCATATATGATTCCATATATGTGTCCATATATGACATGATCATATATCGCCATTTTTCGGATATGAACATATATGAATATATATGGTCCATATATGATTCATATATGATCCATATATAATCATATATGATCGTTTTTAGCTGGGAAGTTATTAGTTGTTAGAAAATTGTAAGATTTTTAACAACAATATATGATTTTTCTATATAACGCTGATTTTTTTTGGCTGCCAACTTAATAAGTATTGCTAATAATAATAATGTAAATAAGTCATGTATTTTTGGATGTATGGCCATAATGATAAGCTGTAAATACACTTACATGTTGTTATCATATGTCACGTTTTATTACAAAAAAGGATGCAGATTCAATGCAAATGAGTGGGTGACAAATTAATTGGAGGCCAATATCAAGATACAAAAATACAAATATTAACTGAAACAACTTTAAGCTGATGAAATAGAAAAAGAAGCTTTTCTCAAAAATGGTTTACTCTTTTGAAATCATCAAACTTTTATACAGTATTGCGCAATTCTAGCAAAAATATTAGCGAATCTTGTTATTAGAATTACGCAAATGTAATTTCGAAATAGTTGCGTATAATCAGATTTTTTTTTTGTTGATAAAATGCACAAACAACTATTTGTTACTCAACATACTGCAAATCGTTATAATTCCCATTTAGTTAACAATAATTTTTACGTAAATACTTGTGATTTTAGTAGAGCCTAGAGCAGTATAGCATCACAAATTACGGTAAGAAAGTGAAGACTTATTTAACACAAATAACAGAAATTTAATAAAAGAAACAAATTGTAACTTTGAGCAATTAATCTTAAGAAATTAGTAGAAATTACTGGAGCTAAGACAGTTCTAACAACAGGAGCAGCAGCATAAGTGGGGACAACAGCAGAAGTTTTCAACACAGGAGCAGCAGCATAAGAAACTGATTTTATAACAGGCGCCGAGGCATATGTATAAACCATAGTTGTAGCAATAAATAGTTTTAAACAGAGTAGTGGCAATCAAACCATGTACAGCAAAAGCCACAACAGTCGTAGCGAAAATTACCAACTAAAAATGCAATATTACATCCATAACTATTTCCCTTTAAATGCATTTATTAGAACTTACCAATCTGAACATTTTCAATTTAAATTTTTTTCCATGTTTTTTCTTAGAAAGTTTAACTTTTGCTTTTAACATTACAGTTAAAAACATTTATAACATTTATAAGATAACAACCTCTTTATTCAATTTATACTCATTTCTGACAACAACAGTAACGCACTTGTTTGGCATAATTTTTCAAAAAAAAATTATTTCAAGTTTAATTGCTGCAAAACTAAAGGCATCAACTAAAATAGTGACACACTTTCCCTGAATACCATACAACATTAATAATTTCGTTGTCAGGGCCAACGGTTGCTTGGGAAATCATAGTAGCAGTCATTGTTGCCTAATGATGGTTATTGATGAAAAATCACCAAATGCATTTTATAATTAGTTTTGCAATCAAATGTTGCACAATAAATTTTTCATATAATTTTAAGTATTTTATTAACATCATAACACTTTTTGTTTAAATTATTATGGAAAAAACTACAAAGTATGCTATTGATTATAGCATATATTATAGACCAGAATGTAGACTAGACTATAAACTAGACTATGGACTAGACTGTAAAGTAGATTATAGATTTTATTGTAGACTAGACTATAGACTAGACCTTAGACTAGACTATAGACTAGACTATAGACTAGACTATAGACTAGACTATAGACTAGACTATAGACTAGATTATAGACTAGACTATAGACTAGATTATAGACTAGATTATAGACTAGACTATAGACTAGATTATAGACTAGACCATGGACTAGACTATAGACTAGACTATAGACTAGACTATAGACTAGACTATCGACTAGACTAGACTATAGACTATAGACTAGACTATAGACTAGACTATAGACTAGACTATAGACTAGACTATAGACTAAACTATAGACTAGACTATAGACTAGACTATATACTAGACTATAGACTAGATTATAGACTAGACTGTAGACTAGACTGTAGACTAGACTGTAGACTAGACTGTAGACTAGACTATAGACTAGACTATAGACTAGACTATAGACTAGACTATAGACTAGACTATAGACTAGACTATCGACTAGACCATAGACTAGACTGTAGACTAGACTGTAGACTAGACTATAGACTAGACTATAGACTAGACTATAGACTAGACTATAGACTAGACTATAGACTAGACTATAGACTAGACTATAGACTAGACTATAGACTAGACTATAGACTAGACTATAGACTAGACTATAGACTAGACTATAGACTAGACTATAGACTAGACTATAGACTAGACTATAGACTAGACTATAGACTAGACTATAGACTAGACTATAGACTAGACTATAGACTAGACTATAGACTAGACTATAGACTAGACTATAGACTAGACTATAGACTAGACTATAGACTAGACTATAGACTAGACTATAGACTAGA